AGACAGACCTTTGTTGGCAAAGTAATGTCTCTGCTTTTTAATATGCTATCTAGCTTGGTCATAACTTTCCTTCCAAGGAGTAAGCATCTTTTAATTTCATGGCTGCAATCACCATCTGCAGTGATTTTGGAGCCCCCCAAAAATAAAGTCTGACACTGCTTCCACTGTTTATCCATCTATTTCCCATGAAGGGATGGGACCAGATGCCATGATCTTAGTTTTCTGAATGTTGAGCTTTAAGCCAACTTTTTCACTCTCCTCTTTCACTTTCATCAAGAGGCTTTTTAGTTCCTCTTCACTTTCTGCCATAAGGGTGGTGTCATCTGCATATATGAGGTTATTGATATTTCTCCGGCAATCTTGATTCCATCTTGTGCTTCTTCCAGCCCAGCCTTTCTCATGATGTACTCTGCATATAAGTTAAATAAGCAGAGTGACAATATACCGCCTTGACATACTCCTTTTCCTATTTGGAACAAGTCTGTTGGTCCATGTCCAGTTCTAACTGTTGCTTCCTGACCTGCATATAGGTTTCTCAAGAGATGGGTCAGGTGGTCTGGTTTTCCCATCTCTTTCAGAATTTTCCACAGTTTATTGCAATCCACACAGTCAAAGGCTTTGGTATAGTCAATAAAGCAAAAATAGATGTTTTTCTGGAACTCTCTTGCTTTTTTGATGATCCAGTCTAGCAACAGCTAAAAACAGGAGAAGCCACCAACAAGAAGAGTCAGGATCTCTTCAGCCACTGTTGGCAGGGCCTGCTTAAACCCCAGGGGAAGGTACAGAACTGCACATAGAAACTAAACATCAGTCCACCAGTGTTGCTTGAAAACAGTATATTCAGATAGCAGGACAGACTTGTAAGTGACATGAAAGAAACATAAGGTACCAAAGTCATCACAAAACAGTGACAAAAGGAAGAGAGATCCAATAGCAGGTAAACCTTAGAATTCCCAGCAAGCATCTTCACCAGGAAGTCCCTTCCTGACCCAGGGATCAAACCCCTGTCTCCAGCATCTCCTGCATTGGTATTCAGGTTCTTTACCACTAGTGCCACCTGAAGCCACACCAGGAGGTAAAAGGCTTTAAGAGTTTACAAGCAAAGTGCTCTCCTTTGGAGAACTCCTAAAAGCAAAGCAGGGTCTCCCTTCTCATAGAAAGCAAATTTGTTCCCAGGACATGGGTTCAGAAGTAGTGGACAGGAAGTACTTTCAAAGCACTCCCAGACTAAACCTGAAACTGAGCAGCAGGTAGGAGCCTTACAGAGGCTTTCAAATCCCTGTTGGGGGGAAGCAACTGGGGCAACAGCTGCTTTGGGTCTAGAGGTGCACTCAAAAGGCTCCCACTGCGAGAACAAGCCAAGCCTTCAGGTCACAGAGATGGAGGGAGGCATCTGATTTATACCTCTTAGAGTGGTCAGGTAGGCCCCATCTCCTGGTTTCTTTCAACTATTCAAATTTTACGTCATTAATTCAATTTTTCTTAATCAAGTTACAAACTCTTTGAAGCCCACAGCTTATACTTCTGTATCTTACACTCTAGCATCCAGGATTAAGTACTGCACATAAGCAGTACTAATATATATTTGCTGACTCATTCTACTGCTGATTTAAAGGCAGCATGGTACAACAGAGAAGCACCCTGCATAGAAGCACAAGTATTTATTTATTTTTTTGGTGGAGGTACTTTTTTTTTTTTTCCATTTATTTTTATTAGTTGGAGGCTAATTACTTTACATCATTACAGTAGTTTTTGTCATACATTGAAATGAATTAGCCATATTCCATGGTGTATATGTACCACAGCTTCCTCATCCATTCGTCTGCTGATGGGCATCTGGGTTGCTTCCATGTCCTGGCTATTATAAACAGGAAGCACAAGTATTTAATTCTGGCAAATCTTGTCACTTTTCTGCATTTCAGTTCTTTCTGCCCCTTCATGAATATGCATGTACTATAAGCTTAAAACTTCCCCAGTTTTGTTGTTCAGAGAGACCCTGCTTTGGGAAGATCCCTGGTGTTCTCCCTACTTGCTACAAGTAATAATAAATATTTCCTTCTCCTAATCTTTGGCTTAGTTGTGTCTTTTGGCTTGAAACCTAACAATAGGTGAACCCAGTTTAGGGTAACATTATTAATTTTTAATCTATGTTCCTTCGTGGCTTATGATTTCTTAAACATGCCTCAGGTAGTCATCATGCACAATGGGAGTAGGAAGAGGAAAAGGACACTGGTCCATGACCACTTTATTGAGAGCAGATTCACTTTTGTTGGTTTTACATTTTGGAGTTCAGAGTTGAAGTTACATTTGTAAGAATGTTGTTGAACCCAAGTTCAACAACCCTTGAGGCCAAACAAACCAAAATTTCAGAATCTGGAGCAGAGAAAGCCTTATTGCAAGTGCCAATAAATCAAGGATATTGGAGAGATGGGTGGGTGCTCATGGTCTAATGACCCAAAATTTTCATGATTGAGTTCTTACAGGCAAAATTTCAGGTGAAGTCTGACCTTCCTCTGAGTGACGGGTGGTAAGGTAATGGGGGTGTTCCAGAAATCCCATTCACAGCCTCTGGTTCCAACCAGTCTGGGGTTCTTGTGCTTATGCTCAGCCTGAAGTTATCATCCTCCACGTGGGTGGGGGCCTTAGTTCCTATAGGAGAACTCAGAAGTGTATCAGGTTGTCATGTATATCCCTTGAGGAGGAACCAGGACCCTGCCTGATGGCTGCACTATTTTTCTTGACTGCCTTTCCTTTGTTTCTATAATCCCTTAAACCCCTTACTCCCCTAACTCATAACTGTTTGAATCTGCCTTTGGAACTCAAGGAAGCTCTAAGAGGCTGAAACATTCCTACAAACAAGAAACAGGAGACATGGAAAGCCTTTTTAAAAAAAAATCTGGGTGGGCTCTGCTGGGTCCTGCTTGGTTTCAAGAGTTCTGTGACTAAATTTTTTTGAGTCACCTGACTCAATTATTTCGAAGGTCTTTTTTGCTTTAACATGATTTTGTAATTTCATAGACATTAGGTGGGAAGAGTCTTATTAATTGAAGTCCATCCTAATGCAAGAACTGTGCTTCCCTTTACCCTCACGTTACATTTTTGCAGAGGTGAAATAGACAGCTGTGTTGTTTGCATCTAACCACATACCTCTTTCACACCCTTCAGTTCATTCATTTCAAATGTGTGACAACCTCCCTTCCCTCCAGCCTGATTAGTGTTCTAACTTTTAGGAGATTTATCTGAGACACCTCTATCTCTGCTAAACTTAGATACATCTCTGATTCTTTTGGTTTTACCCTTTCGATGATGTTTTTACCTCTTACTTCTTACTACTACTTCTTTGCTGGCATAATGTTTTGTTTTGTTTTTTTCACCCCTCTGCCTATTTACACCCGAGGATTCTCAAAACCACTAAGAAATTTATGTGAGTGCTATCTGTAGACTAAGCCTCAGCAATGGAGAAGGAAAAATGATACAGGAAGAAGAAATGGAAAATACAATAGAAAATAAGGAAAGCAAGAGGAGTGATAGAAGAAGGAGGTATGTATGGTCTCTATGTAACCAAGCAGGACCCTATGTGGGCTTGCTGGGACAGACGCTTCCTTCCATGTCCTCTGCCTGCCTCTTGTTGTAGAAAAGCTACAGTCTCCCAGTCTTCCCCTGACATACAAAAGCCTGTCTCACCAATTATTGGTTGACAGTGCTACTGAAGAGTGAGTTCTTGTCTCATCACAGGAAGGATTCAGAGACAAAACTTGGAGGTCAAGAAAACAAAACAAGGATTTATTAAGCTCTTTATTACACTCAAAAGGGAAGAGTGGGCAGACTCACGTGAGTAGCTACCATGAGCTTCTTTGGCAAGCTACTTATATGGGGGTGTAAAAATGAATGGGCAGGATATTCATTGGGAAGGGATGGTTTGGGGGTCATATTTCTTGATTTTCATCCCAGCTCTATCTTCCCAAAGGGAGGAAGGATTTTTGTCCTTATTTACCCTTGGACAGCAAAGGAGATCAAACCAACCAATCCCAAAGGAAATCAACCCTGAATATTCATTGGAAGGACTGATGCTGGAGCTGATGCTCCACCTGATGTGGAGAGCTGACTCATTGGAAAAGACCCTAATGCTGGGAAAGATTGAAGGCAAAAGGAGAAGGGGGTAGCAGAGGATGAGCTAGTTAGATAGCATCTAACTAGGTAGTCTAGTTAGATAGACTCATTGGACATCAATTTGAGCAAACTCTCTGAGATAGTGAAGGAGAGGGAAGCCTGGCAAGTTGCAGTCCATGAGGTCACAAAGAGTCGGACATGACTTAATGACTGAAGAACAACAACAAAAGCCTTGATCAGAAGTGTGATAGCACCAGTGCATGATGGGTAGTACTTATCTGCAAGGCTAATTCCATTTTAACGAGAGAATAAGCAAAAGGTTACATTAAGATGCTGAAAATTCCTGCATTTTCCCACCTATCTTTGTCTACCTCCAGGACATCTATCTCCTCAAGGTATATGGTTTCCTGTCAGTCCAAGCTTTCTGCTTTTCTTTGTTTACCAAAAGACTCCTGTTGTTTACAAGATGTATGGTCTCCTGCCATTTAGCCTGGCCCCCTTTCTCTGCTCTTATTTAATGATTGTTGTCTGTTGTTTTAGCTGCTAATTCATGTCTGACTCTTTTGTGACCCCTCAGACTGTACTCATCAGGCTGCTCTGTCCATGGGATTTCCCAGGCAAAAACACATGAGTGGGTTGCCATTTCCTTCTCCAGGGGATCTTCCTGACGCAGGGATCAAACATGCATCTCCTGCATTGGCAGGCAAATTCTTTACCACTGAGCCACCTGGGAAGCCCAAATTTAGCTATATATCTATTCTAATATAAGGATGTGAATGTAGCAACTGGGTAACGAGAACTGGTAACAATTTAAATACAAGTTAACTACATGGCAGTCACAGAACCTTTCATTCCTTTCTGAAATACATAGATAACAGTACCTGATGCACATTTCCTAAATTGTTTTACAGATACAAAAACCCCATGAAATGGAAGTTAACTATTTGATGACCAGGAGCACAAAACAGCCCGTAGACATACACGAGCCCCAAAACTGCTAATGTTAGCCCTTATGACATGGCCCTGTTATATCACCATCAACCAGTCAGAATTGTACATGATCTGATTACATAGCTTGGGAACCCCCCACCCCCGTCACCTTGCCTTTAAATATGCATCCCTTAAACCCCTCAAGGAGTTCGGATATTTTGAGCATTAGCTGCCCTGGACTCCCTGTCTACCACTTTACAATAAATGCTGTACTTTCTTTCACCACAATTCAGTCTCAGACTGACTTTACTGTGCATGGGTGAGAGAATGCAACATCTTGGTTTACAGTGATATTTATTCGTTTCTTCTGCTTCTCTAAAACATATTGCCATTAAATATGGCATTGCTTTGGCTAACAACTTTAAAAAACTTGCACGTTTTATTTCATCTCATCAAATAGCAGTCAACTAGTATGATTTTGAAAGACAATATTACATAGTAGGTCACATGTGGACTCAATAGATAAATGACCTAGAATCTTGCCAGCTCTGACCTTGATCTCTTTCTACTTCAGGTTCTTTAATATGGGATAAAAATAGACCTCACCTTCATGACTGTCATGATGATGAAAGAAGATGATACAAGTAAAGTGTTCTGATTAAGTTCTGGCACAAAGTAAGAACCTTATTCTAAAAAAATGTTTTGCTTTACAGCTTTGCCCCTAACTTTTCCTAACACATCATGTACCTTTGTAAATGCATTGGCCCAGTCTCTCGTGGCCTTACCATGCCTACCACAGCCTAATGTTAATGGTAAACAATAGCAACCATTGCTTCTCTCTGTGGAATGGCTATTACTCTTGCTGTTTTGCTAGAAAAATACTAGTTTCACTCAGGCAAAGAAAGGCGGTAACCACATCATAATATATCCACAATAAGCCTGTTTAGGAGGTTTAGCCTTGGGCAACAAACAAATTTTATAATTTTATTGCAAGAATATAAAAAAATAAGTGAGCTACAGTTCATGCTTTTACATAACTTGGCTTATCTCCTATGTGTCTGCCTCTTAATCAGCTGTGCACTTTAGAATCACCTGGGAGTTTTTAAAAACAATATATGCCTGGGCCCTGTCCCTAAAGGATTCTGATTTACTAGGCCTAGGTGATGTTCTGGCATGTTTATTTGGAATTGTTTAACTAAGTGATTCTGATGTAAAACTAGTGTTCCAAGTATTCCTGGCCCATTGCCTTCCATTCAACAAAAGCAATTTCACCTACTGGAGTGAAAAAAATCAACCACAATTGTTATGGCCTTTCCATATAAGTAGGTATACTAGTGATTTCTTAACAAATTATCCAATCACAGAAGTAAATGTCTATAGTTTAAGTTTATAATGATGAAATTATGAATTATGTTCCATTTGGATTGAGCCACTGACAACTCTTCGGGTGAGGTTTTCTGCCATTTTAATGAGTAAAAAACGGAGCCTTTGTGGATAAGATGGTGGCTCCATCAAACCACCTGTAGGCTTCAGTGCTGGGAAGCCTCAGACCAAACATTCAATCAGACTAGAACACAGCCCCATTCATCAGCAGACAGACTGCTTCAAGTCTCCATGAATAAACAACTGCTTGATAAAAAACACAGACTCAGACACAGCCCTACTCACTAGAAGGACAAGACCCAGATCCACCCCCCAGAGAGTGGGTGTAAGTCTCTCACATGAGGAAGCTTGCACAAGTCTCTAGACAGCCTCATTGACCAGGGGGCAGGGAGCAAGAAGCTAGAAGAACTACAACCCTGAAGCTTATGGAATGGAATATGCAAACACAGAAAGCTAGATAAAGTGAGATGGCAGAATATGTCCCAGATGAGGGCACAAGATAAAAACCCCAGAACAATGTTGTATGAAAGGAGAGAAAGTTAGCATCCCCCTTGATGAGAATGGAAGAGGCTCTCAGACCTGACAACACGCATATGGTCAAGGCATTGCCTCCTACTTTGTGGCAGCTAAGCACTGTTTTTTTTACAAATATACGATGGAGAAAAGACAGTCTCTTTAACAAACAGTACTGGGAAAACTGGTCAACCACATGTAAAAGAAAGAAACTAGAACACTTTCTAACACTATACATAAAAATAAACTCAAAACAGATTAAGGTCTAAATGTAACACCAGACACTATTAAACCCTTAGAGGAAAACATAGGCAGAACACTCTCTGACATAAATCACAGCAAGATCCTCTATGATCCACCTCCCAGAGTAGTGAAAATAAAAACAAAAATAAACAAGTGGGACCCTAATTAAACTTTAATTAAATCAATTAGCTAAAGGAAATCAGTCCAGAATATTCATTGAAAGGACTGACACTGAAGCTGAAACTCCAATACTATGGCCACTGATGTGAACAACTGACTCATTGGAAAAGACACTGATGTTGGAACAGATAGAAGGCAGGAGGAAAAAGGGACACCAGAGGATAAGATGGTTGGATGGCATCACTGACTTGATGGACTTGAGTTGGAGCAAGCTTCAGAAGTTGGTGATGGACAGGGAAGCCTGGCATACTGCAGTCCATGGGGTTGCAGAGTTGGACACAACTGAGCGATTGAACTGAACTGAACTGGATTGAATTAAATTTAAAAGATTTTGCACAATGAAGGTAACTATAAACAAGGTAAAAAGGCAGTCTTCAGAATGGGAGAAAATAATAGCCAATGAAACAACTGACAAAGAATTAATCTCCAAAATATAAAAGTAGCTCATGCAACTCAATACCAGAAAAATGAACACCCAAGCAAAAAGTTGGCCAAAAAACTAAACAGACATTTCTCCAAATAAGACATACAGATGGCTACTAAACACATGAAAAGATGCTCAGCATCACTCATTATTAGAGAAATGCAAATCCACACCACAATGAGGTATCACCACATGCTACTCAGGATAGCCACCATCAAAAAGCCTATGTACAATAAATGCTGGAGAGGGTGTGGAGAAAAGGGAGCCCTCTTACACTGTTGTTGGGAATGCAAACTGGTACAGCCACTGTGGAAAAGTGTGGAGATTCCTTTAAAAACTGGAAATAGAACTGCCATACAGCCCAGCAATCCCACTGCTGGGCATACACATCAAGGAAACCAGAATTGAAAGAAACACATGAACCCTAATGTTCATTGCAGCACTGTTTACAATAGCTAGGACACAGAAACAACCCAGATGTCCATCCACAGATGAATGGATGAGGAAGTTATAATACATATACACAATGAAATATTACTCAGCTATAAAAGGGAACACATTTAAGTCAGTTTAATGAGGTGGATGAAACTGGAGAATATTATACAGAGTGAAGTAAATCAGAAAGAGAAATGCCAATACAATATATTAACGCATATATATGGAATTTACAAAGATGGTAATGACAATCCTATATACAAGGCAGCAAAAGAGACACAGATGTAAAGAACAGACTTTTGGATTCTGTGGGAGAAGGCAAGGGTGGGACGATTTGAGAGAATAGCATCAAAACATGTATATTACCATATGTAAAATAGATGACCAGTACAAGTTCTAAGCATGAAGCAGGGCACTCAAAGCTGGTGCTCTGGGACAATGCAGAGGGATGGGGTAGGGAGGGAGGTGGAAGGGGGGTTCAGGATGGGGGAACACATGTGTACCCGTGGCAGATTCATGTCAGTGTATGGCAAAACCCATCACAATATGTAAAGAAATTATCCTCCAATTAAAATAATTTAATTAAAAATAAATAAAAAATTTTTAAAAAAGAAAGAACATGTTGAAGTGCTGAAAGAATAAACAAATATTCACAGGAAACAAACATAAAAAATGGACAAATGGGTCTGCATCAAACTTAAAAACTTTTATTCATCAAAATAGACAGCAAACAGAATAAAAAGGCAACCTGTGGAATAGGAGAAAATATTTACAATCATTTACTTGATAAGGGTTATCTAGAATATATAAACAACTAAAACTCAACAAAAAGAACTAACTCAATTTAAAAATCAGCAATGGTTCTAAAGCAATTATCCTTCAATAAAAAATAAATTAATTTTAAAAAATCAGCAAATTACTTAAAAAAACATTTTTCCAAATATGATATATAAATGGTGAATAAGCATATGAAAATATACTCAAAATCACTAACTGCCAGAGAGATACAAACTCAAAGCACAGTGAGATATTACCTCCACAGCATTAAGATGGCTGCTATTAAACAAAACAAAAAAGAAATAAATATTGGTGGGCATGTGAAGAAGTTGGAACCCGTGCTCCAATCTTGATGATGAGATTGTAAAATGGTACAACTGTTATAGGAAACAGTATAAGAGTACCTCAGAAAACAGAAAATAAATCTACCATATGACTCAGCAATCCCACTTCTGGGCAGATATCCAAAAGAATTGAAAGCAGGGCCTCAAAGAAATATTTGCATATCTAAACTTAAAAGTAGCATTACTTACAACAGCCAAGAAGTAGAATCAACCCAAATGTCCATCAGAAGATAAACGGATAAAGTGTGGTATATACATAGAATGCAGCCTGAAAAAGGAAAGAAATTCTGTGACACGATGTAACATAGATACGTTTGAGGACATCATGATAAGTGAAATAATCTAGTTAAAAGAGGGCAAATACACGCATGGCTGAGTCCCTTTGCTGTTCACCTGAAACTGACACAGCACTGATAACTGGCTATACACTCCAATTAAAAATAAAAAGTCTAAAGTTTGGGGGGAAAAAAGAGGACACATATTATATGATTCTACTTACATGAGATACCTCAAGGAGTCAAAATCATAGAAACAGAAAGTAGAGTGGGTTTAAGCTTGGGAGAGGGGGGAAAGGAAGAACTGTTTTTAATGGGTATTGAGTTTCAAATGTGCAATATGAAAAAGTTATGGAGATCTATTTTACAATCATGCAAATATATGCAACACTACTGAAGTGTACAGTTAAAATGGATCAGATAGTAAATTTTGTATGTGTTTTTAAGCACAGTAAAAAAAAAAAAAAAAAAAAGAATGAACAAATGATAACCTAGGAGACAATGGTGGAAATCACTGCTGTGAAACAGAATAAAGAATGAAAGGAAATTAAGACAGTGTACCAACCTAGATAGCATATTAAAAAGCAGAGACATTGCTTTGCCAACAAAGGTCCGTCTGGTCAAGGCTATGGTTTTTCCAGTGGTCATGTATGGATGTGAGAGTTGGATTGTGAAGAAAGCTGGGTGCTGAAAAATTGATGCTTTTGAACTGTGGTGTTGGAGAAGACTCTTGAGAGTCCCTTGGACTGCAAGGAGATCCAACCAGTCCATCCTGAAGGAGATCAGTCCTGGGTGTTCATTGGAAGGACTGATGCTGAAGCTGAAACTCCAATACTTTGGCCACTTCATGTGAAGAGTTGACTCATTGGAAAAGACCCTGATGCTGGGAGGGATTTGGGGGCAGGAGGAGAAGGCGAAGACAGAGGATGAGATGGCTGGATGGCATCACCAACTCGACAGACATGAGTTTGAGTAAACTCCAGGAGTTGGTGATGGACAGGGAGGCCTGGCGTNCTGCTGACAGATTGCCTCCCTACTGTATCCCCTACTCCACTGTATGTGTGAGTCACCATGAAATGCACTTTTTATTCAATTTCTGTC